AACGTGTTAAAGAGAAATTTCGAGTGAGGAAAAAACACCATCACTTATGGGCCAACCCAATACACCTGCAGTACGTAATTAATCAACATAAGACTTGAACGTAGAACTTTTTATCAACTCCATTCTTCAGAATAAATATATATGTACATCTCTGGGAAACAAATAGAAATTTTCAAAGAGAATGAGAGAATCTTCATAGCGGTAATAACGGCCATGTGAATGCATGCTGCGCAGGCTATTGCAAAGCGACAACAAGCTGAACAGATTGTGAGAGCGTAGCACTGAAGAAGAAGACGGCGAAAGAGTTTATTTGTGTGAATATCATGCATTGAGAGAGAGGATCATTGCTGCTGCGTGGTGAGTGAGTAGCAGCGATTGGATGAGCTGCACCAAAGAAGCTGTTCCAGCTTAAACTGGCCAGGATTTGTGAAAAAGCAAACATAGTGGACGTGTTATTGTAAGAAACATGGTGCGAAATAAAGAAATGAAAAGGAAGAAATAAGTAAAGAAAAGACACTGTATAGGAGCAAGGCACGATTGGGATATAGTCCGAGGACACTTTGACTAAGGCAAATTGAGAATGCGAGTAAACACTCTCTGTTCCCAAAGATGACTATGAATTCGATGACTGACTCAATGATGATTATGAACGACGTAACATAAAGAACAAACAAACGAACCACAGTTGAGAAACGGACAGCGAAAGAGGAAGAAAAAAAAACAGGTGGAGGAAGACGACGATAGCACCGGTTTCTGTGGTGATCTCTGCGTATTGATGATGGTTACGGTGTCAGTGATATGACCCCAACGCGTTAGGCACAACCGATTGATAAGCAGCTAACCAATGACTCGCCGCGGCCAATCCGTCCAAGGCGGCGAATGTGAGCTTTCTCGTCCGTAGGTGTGGCAGCAGTATGGCAGTGGGCGGCATTACTGCTTGTAGGGATGGTCACGAGATGTGCCAAGAACGCGACGTTGGTTAATCATTGCACCTGAATGTTAGCACGGTTAGCAACATTAAAGTAGTAGTTACAGTGTTGTTGCACGAACCCTTCCTCTAACTCTGTAAGTTCCCACCTTACTCTTTTCTCTGAGTCTGCGGTTATACTCGGCGGCTGGCGACTGAGAGCGACGACTAGCGAGAGATAGCTTTCACGTGGAAAAAAAGGAAGACTGTTCTCTTCCCACCTTTTGCCTGCTTCATGGAAACACCAGCTCAGTCGCCTTAGCCGCTTGCCAAGTATGACCACATAGAATTTACCGTATCTTAGGCAGTTTTGCAGAGCAGCGACTACGCTCTAACAAGTGCTAAGGCAGCGTTCAGACTTCGCGACGGCAGCGCTTTTGGTCGCGCGTTCGACGCGATCGATGCAGTCGAAAGCATGCGCATCGATCGCGTCGAAAGCGCGACCGAAGCGCTGCCGTCGCGAAGTCTGAACGGTACCTAAGAGTGCGTACGAAAGTAGTAGCTAGCCGTGTGTGGCAATAGCCAGCCGGTTATCCGGTGGTTAAAGTTAGCAGTTTGAAATGTGTAAAATCTTAGTATTCGATCATGCAATCACTAAAAAGACGACGCTCAGAATCAGAAAATCAGAGCTGACGCGGTTATCTGTTCAGTTCAGCTGTGTTAAAAAATATGATTGATATGGATGAGATGGAACGAGTTCATGGAGGAACAGAGCATGAGATCGTGGCGGAAAACTTTAAAAGCAATTCAAATCACAATAGACAACTGTCATAATCACCGATATGTTGGAAAAAGGAAGACATTTCTGGTACACGTATGGAGTAATTCAACATCACAATAACGGATTGCAAGAGAGCAACAACAATCTGCATTTGCAGCGGAAAATCATGGTCAGAAAAATAATATTGTACAGAAAATATAGAAAAAAAACTAAAATAATCCATGAAGAGAGAATATCTGGCAAGGATTGATAACCTTCCAATGAAACTACACCTAAGGGGCATGGGACAAGACAATCGTAACTCGCTGCGGTTGCGGGCTTCGCGTGCGACGTCGCGCATGCAAATGACCTTTTAGGTCGTAGATGACGACAGCAGCTAATGTATAACCAGAAATCGCCATAAATATCTACGATGTCATAGTTCACACGAATCGATTGGCTCAGGCAAATTAGCAAACGCCGCCCGTCGCTTGCGACGGAGCTGCAAATTACGATTGTCTTGGCCGTGTCCCAGACTTATGGTAAAGAAATGTGTAGGCTGACTGATGCGACAGTGCAGTGCACTTCCATAAATCGGACAGTTTCGTGCATTATGCCCATTTCCGAACGAGAAACCCACCAGGAGCTGTTTGAGTTGCGGCGATGTCAACACCGGCATAGTCGGCGTATTGTCCTCCTAACAGACTGTACTGTTGTTGAGCTGCAGCTGCTTGTTGTTGAACTGCCTGTGCTTGTTGAAATTGCTGAAGGGCCGCCACATTCGCCAAGTTCTCATAGGTCAAGCCTTGACTGTAACTAAGAAGGGTGTAAGAAAATGACAGCGGTAAGCGGTAGACAAAGGTCGCGCACAGGGTCAGCACAGTACGACAGAGATAGAGCGACCTCTATAGGCAGAACTGTCCTACACTGGAAGGGCTCTTGACAAATTGAGAATTTTACAAATTGAGACAGGCCAGTCTTGGACCAGTCCAGGTGAAAGTGAACTGTGACCTGGACATCAGGGAACTCCATCTTCTATGGGTAATCAGTCAACTTTCCTTACATTCTACATAAGAAGTGCAAATCAAAACTGTAAAAGTGAAAGTTCGAACAAGCAAGAAGCAGAAGTGCTGATGGGGTAAATCGGCCTGATAGGCCGTTTGTCGTTGGTAAGAAGGGCGAATTCTTCCTTTCCCACCCAAAAAAGGAAAATGGTCCAGCCACATCACATCGTATTTAGCCAATGTTTCCCACATCCTCAACCGCAAAAATCTTTTCAAGTAACCCCGCTGTAATGCGCAATGAATGCGCCAATCAGCCCACCCCTTAATTCACCCTAATTTGCTACTCTGAGAATGTAATTTCTCTGATCGCCGTCGCGTGCTTGTCCTGACCCTGATGCAATCAAGGCCAAAATTACCTGAACAACAACTGCTGGTATTCGGCGGCCTGTTGCTGCTGCTGAAGGATTGCGGCCTGCTGCGCAGCGACGGCGGCTGCATTGTTCGACGCGGCAACGGCAGCTGCCCCCAGTTGGGACTGCAGACCGAGCATTTGGGTCTGTTGGGCTCCTGTGGCTCCTCGACCAGGACTCATCACAATTGGAGCGCCAGCTACGGCCATCGTTGGAGATCGCGTCAGAGCTTGATTGCTCGCCGCTAGCATCGGTAGGACACTTCGGGCCTGTGCAGACAAGGCGGCCGCCTCTGAAATTCATATGATTTGTTTAAAATTGCTAAGATAGAAGTCAGATAACAAGACGGTGGAAAATTAATAAACGGACAAGCTGAGGGCGCAGTTAGTGCCTGAAACGTATGTTGAACTACCAAAACCTGAGTGGATGGTTGTAAGTTCGTCTGGTACGGAGGCAAGTTTAGCGGATACTAATTTTTGCTTGGTTTGCAGTTACTGATTAGTTGCGCTGTGATATAAATTCGTGCGTCTTAAAAGAAATGTCAGAGATATGCATTCGGAAAAAACTCACGGAGAGCAGCAGCTAACGGTTGCTTGAGCTGGGCGGCTGCGGCAGCAGCTGCAGCCTGCTCTGACGCTGAGCGATAGGTACCGTTGATGATCGCCAGCTCCATAAGTTGCTTTCCGTTTTAGTTCGTCTTCACCTTCAGGCTGAAATTGAACAGATAAAAAATGGAACATAATTGGGGATCGTGAGCAATTTTTCCCGTAAACCACCACTGTTTACGAATACAGGCCTTGACAAACTCGGTCGAATCATGGACACGTCAGCAGTTTTTCAACGGTGGCGATTTAATGATCATAATATGTGATCTTTTACAGTCATGGATCCTTGCAGACGATCAGGGCGAAGGCGTGGGAACACAGATAGGACAGAGTTCTCACCCAGTTGTAGCAAGGTCAGATGACATCATCGTCGCGAACAAAAAACGCCGCGCTGGCATTCCAAAACCCGCGCCCGCGTCCCACGCCCAAGTCGTCTATTGCAGAGATCATCAATGTATATGTATTATATCAAGGACAGGATGTTGGTCTGATGTGGTTCCCACGGGTTCAAAGCACGGAATACAACCAGTTGAGAAAGTCGGTGTCGTATCTGGCGTGAAAGCGTCTACAGAGGTCTAAGTCATGCCAGTCTCGTCTCGCAAAAAAGCGTGGGAAAGGCTGGAAAGAGTGAAGAATTGGAGAGATTTTAACTACAGTACGTAGAGCGACTTCAAAAGTCCCGAGTTCATATTGCGACCGACCCGCCGTTCAACTTTTGTGCTGGCTGCTTATAGTACGCGGAACTCTACGGCGCTACTGCTACAATATATTTCTCCTTATCTCTGGGCGATCGCCCAAGCTAGTGTAAAGACACCGTCAGATAAGCATCAGCCCTATTATGGCACATTTTCGTGTTATTATTTTTGGAAAAAACTCACTGAGACCTCCCGTACAGGCAAACTAATATGACGCCAGAGTTGTGAAGTCGATCCTATTAAAGGCATTCTTGACAGTTTTTTTTTTCTGCTCACCCCAGGTGTAACGGTTAGCACCTTTACAACGAGCGTCATTTCCACCATTCGACCATCGTCAGCCAATGAAATTTATAAGAACTGCTGAATAACGTACTGATATAGTCTCAGCCCCCCCCCCCAGGATGAGTAAGCATGTGCTCGTGGAATCCTTGGAGCGCGAAAAAAAATTCAAAAAATGGCGTAGAAGTTATACACACACAGACTGGACTTACCCTCTTCCTATTCTTTTAGTTTCTCACAATAAGAAAATAATAAGTCCTCTGTCAACTAGAGACTATCTAAATTTTCAGATTTACGCTGTAAAGTGACTATCCCAAGAAGTAAAAGAATAGGAAGAGGGT